ACAGTGGTGGGCTAGAGGGATGGCCAAGGCGGGGAGGGGGGGATGGGGGACGATGATGGGAGGACGTTGAGGGGAGGGCGGGGCAGCGAGGCTGCGCCGCCGGTGGTACGTTTGGTGGTTTGGGGAAGAAGAAGGAGATGGTCTGGAGGTTGAAGAAGCAATCTGCACCACTTGTTTTCTATCCAACGGCTGAAACGGAATCGACTTACCTAAATTGGAAAGTCGACTTACCACTACCATTTCCCTTAATTTACCGGCATAGCTTACCTGGTTGTGAGGGACTTTTTGCTGGAAAAGAAATGACCGACGAAGACCCGTATTTTTACAAGGGTATTTGGAAGGAAAACCACAATCCAAAGAAAACCCAGGTTGCCCGTGTTTGTTTTCTTTTTCTATTCTTGTTTGTGGGTTCTCAGTTCCTAAAAAGGGAAATCAGGAGGGTTTTCCCCTTGTAGACAGAAAAAAAAGTCGCAGTTTGAGAATACCTCATTGCCTAAAGCTGATCAGCAAGCTAAGAAATACTCCCTCCGTTCTGAAATACTTGTCTAATAACTAAATTAAGTTTAGATACAACGATTTCTAGGACAAGTATTTCCGGACGGAGGGAGTATTGCAGTAAACTGAATCCAAAACGAGGAAACTACCTCATTGCCTAGCATGACTGACACTGATAGCATTTTCTTTACAAAAAGCATTGATTTCGTGGCGGAAAGCTAAGGCCTCTTTTGGTTCATAGGATAGGATTATCATAGGAATAGGAATCTTGTAGGAAATGAGATGACATGTATCTCAAATCCTATGAGTAGGAATAGGAAACAAGATGTCATTTGGTTGACATCAAAGGAATTTTTCCATCGAGTCTAGGCTCTTTTTTATTTTCCTATGAAATGTGGAGGATAGGAACCAATCCTATGGAGGAATAGGAATCCATTCCTATAAACCAAAGGGCTTTAAAGGAAAAAATCCTATAAGAATCCTATCCTCTAGAATTCCTATGAAATTCCTCTAAACCAAAGGAGGCCTAAAGGTTTAATTCCAAAGTTATCTGATCAAAGAGATTTCAGGGAGCGTTTAAAGTTTTGCCAATTGTCAAAGAAGTAATTTTCGTCAATTGCCAATTGTTGATTAAGATTGTTCCTAGGCAATTTTATTTGGACCCAGTAAATTAAAATAAACTTTGGTTCCAATATTATATTTGCAAAATACCCTATCTGGTGATTATACAATCCATAAATATAAACATAAATCAACACAGATGCATGTAATCAATGATTGGGTGCTTTATTAGTAAACTATAAAGTTTTTTTTGCGAAGAGTAAACTATAAAGTTGTTGGAGAGACTCAAAAACAGAGCAAAAATTAGATTGGCCCAGTGGTCTATTCTATAGTCCTCTGGAAGAAAAAATGTATATTGCAACTTGAGATATGATTGTCACAGTAAGTTGCTAGCACCTTATTGTTTGAAAACAGTCCATAGGGAGCCCAAGGTCCAGAGTAAAGATTTAAAACATATTGAGCTAGATTTTTTTAGTCTAGGCAGCGCACAGTTTGCTGCCTTTGTTGGGTACTTGGGTGTACAATGAAACCATCAAGTTTTGGAATTCATAATAGCAGCCAATAACATCAGTAGCAAGCAATGGGACTGGGATCTTGACTATTTGGTGTGCAGTAGATGCTTAATACACAATGGCGCTCTAATTTGCACTAATGATTATAATTGAGTTGTTAATGACTACCACAAGTGTAAATATATTACACTGTGTTTGGATGTCTGTATTGGAGGCCTTCGTATTGAATTGGTTTCAATTCCAACTCAGCAATGAAACTGTAATGGACATGATTACGAATTCAATTGTTTGGATGTTAACTGAATTGGCTCATGGAATTTTACCGTGTCTGTTTCAATTCATTTGTTACTTTCGATGGGTTTCAATTCATTAACTAATGTTCTTGATGTAATTTTTATTATGTTTGAGACACTTTGTACTTCCGGTGAACCTTTATAACACATCTGATCCTTTTCGCAAATTTTTTTTACTAGCGGTCACATTTCCTTTTGTTGAACTTAACATCTAATGCAAAGGCCAAAGAAGATAATTACTGTTATGATTGCCACAACTGGTAGGGAAACCTATGGCTGATATTACATCAAAAGGATAGAGCATCTAACATAGTAGGTGTGTAACAAAGTGGCAGATAAACTTGTTCAGGAAGACTCAAGTTTCAAGACGAACGGATATGGCATCTGTGCTTTCTATTACCCAATGAAGTGCCTTTAGGGGACAAATAAAAATCTTAGTTGTGGTTTTTGTAACGGGTGATCCAGTAATTACTTCATATCTGGATTTTTTTTTGAAATGGAGAAAAAGATTTGTCTCAATGATTAATTATGCAGAAGAGAGTCATCTAGTTAATTAGCCAAAACCCCATGTAAACCAATACAAACAGACCACATGCTAGCAACTCACCAAGCAGACCATTTTAGATTTCATTTTTTTCATTGGCATGCCTTGATGTTTCCCTGTTAGGACATGTCATTGGTTGCCGGTGTTTTTCCCTTTAGGCCGCATTTGGCATTAGGGTATTTTAATAAAGGGTATTTAATTTACCACGGTAGCTAAACATCAGTCACTTGAAAATCCAATTTGGATCAGTCGATTTTCGCTAGAAGGAAGCAGACGTCGGTGGGATGGAAGAAGCAGCCGCTGGCTTGTCGGAGAAGCTTCCCCATGATCTATCATCAGTAAGGG